CAGCGCCTGTGCTGCGCTCGGGAAGCGCCGGCCTCTCCGCCGGCTACGGGGGGATCCAGACGGCCAGCTCGGCGCAAAGCAACTCGCTCCGGAAAGGCCAAGTTCAGTGAGATGAAGCCGATCGAGCCCACAGCCCGACTGGTTATTAGCTTGGGGCCGTTGGGGTTTATGAGCCATTACCTGTGGTCTAAGCAGGAAGGAGGAGGAGATGATAAAAGTCGCTGTTTATTTGCATTGGTTATGCAAACACTCGGACTAAACCTTTCCCCCCTTCACCTCTGCAAAGCAAGGCAATGAACGTGCAGTTGTGGTGCCCATCACTGGGTCCCTCCGGGCTCCCGGAAGGCTTGCAAGCCTGCCCTTGGGCTCAGACCCCCACGACCGCCTGCGGTTGTAGGGCAGTACCGGTGTCTCTCTCCGGCTGACATCTAATGCAGGAGAAAAGGGGCAGCGGCTGGGATGCTCCTGCTAGCTGATGCAGTCCTGTGAGTAGGAGCACAAGGAACCTTCCTCAAAGAAACCACTATCCCAGCCAGGCACCTTCCACCCCAGTCCTCCTCCCAGTGTCCCCAGCAACCCCTTCTCAAACACTTCAAGCACTGAGGCACCTGCAGTCCAAGGTATGGAGGTGGAGAAAGCCCTGGTCTGCAAGAGCATCAAAACCCGTGACCAGGACGTGTCAGCCGTGGCACATGCAAGGGCAGTACATGAGAAACAGCATTTTCCAGCTGTCGCAGGAACAATGTGCCCTTTGATTTGCAAATCTGCAAAGTTGCAAAACCCAGAGAGTGATTTGCAAACCCCCAGGTCTGGGTTTACAGAGTGTGGTCTCTCCCTGTATCTGTGGTCCTGAGATCTATTTAGCATCTTACCAATGCAGCGTGATCCATCAGGGCTGGTCATGAAACCACGTGGACATGTGCACACGTAGCTGCCTGCTGTGTTGGTGCACTCGCCGCCATCACACACACCAGAGATTGCGCCACACTCGTCCACATCTAGAAAAGAACAAACCAGCAGTGATTATGTTTCCCTGCAAACCATCTCCTTTCCTGTCTGCAGCTTGGATCCAGGACCAGAGCTGGGATCACAGAGGACAGTAGCTGGTGGTACGGGTTGTCATGGGATGCTTGAGACCATAAGAGACGTCCTAGCAGTGGATCAGTACGGAAAACAAGACCTTCCCAGAGGGTGATAGAGAGGGCTTCGTGGAATCCTCTGCTTATCTCTGCTGACAGAGCAGGTCCTAGGGTAGGCTGATCTCAGGCGTTGAGCTCCCCGGAGTACAAAGGAAGCTTCAGGACAGAAACGTGTCTGTGCAGGTGCATGAGTGGCTGGACAGCAGGTCCCTCCGTGTGACTTGGAGGCCTCTCTGAAAGCAGATGCAACGTCAGAGGCACCACCGTGTTTTTAAAAAGCACTGGGCATTATTCACCGAATTTCTCCATACAGGAGGGATTTGGTTCAATTTCAAGTACGTTCAGGCATCTAAACCCACATGAAAATGCCTCTGTACTATCAGCTGGGCAAGGCGGGTCTGGACACACCACTCTGGGGGTTCAGCTCCCCGTCAGCAGTCCCATTTTAGTGTGAACTGATTTGCACAGCAATGCCATGAGCATGCCATAGTTTGAACTATTTTTCCCATCACAGGGAAAATTAGTGAGATAGAGACATACATTGAGTCCTGGGAGAGATCACCTGTAATTATCCATGGCAATCAAAGAAACACCATCCATGTTAGCAAGCCCTGCCACACACTGCTTCTGCAGCAGCCCACCGCTGTGTGTGACCATCTAACAAACCAGCGAGGTGCCTCTCTCCGGATTTAAGAGCATGGAAAATAAGGACATTGCAACAAGATTTTGCCAAGGCGCAGCAGTTGGGCTTGGATGGCAGAGGGACCAGGCGGCCCCAGTGCCCAGATATACGGTCATAATTGCAGAAAGGTTACAAAAGTACCAAAATTCAGAGACAATCACCCTAGTCATGTAGCTCTGCCATTTGAACTTACTATGTGCTCTACAAGCATCTGACTTCTGTGGAGACAGGGTGGACCCTCACCACAGGCTGAAGATGGACACTAGCCCCATTGCCGAGGTCCCGGATGCCTGTGTCTGGATCCTGAAACGGAGCATCTCTATTTCAAATCTTGCTCAGAGTTAGATTTTAATCCACGCTGGAGGAACTGAACTGGAAAGATGAGGCACTACAGGGTTTGCTTGAGAACTGTAGAGTTCTCCAAACTTTCCAGGCCATTTATATTGCAACCTTGAGAAAATTCTTGAGTTAATTATTTCTTTGGCTCTTTTTATATTGAGTATTTAAAGAGCTTCATATCCTTGTGAAAATTTTAGTTAACAACAGATGGGAAACCACACAGCCTGAAAACTGCAGCTTAACAAAAGTCGAACTGCAACAGAAAAGGGTGAGGACAGAGCAGAAAATTCAACAAGTACCTATGCAGATGATAGAAAGGGAGACAGCCTATAACTTTTGTGTGCAGCTATCACTTGGGACCGGAAACTTGGAAAATCAAAGGGAACAGAGTGGCAAATCAGCTATTTTGAAAAGGGCAATCTGTTTTCAACAAATTTTGACCAAAATGTCAACATAATTAAACGTACAGGGCCCGGCCATGCTGGTGGGCCACTTGACTCTAAGGACTTGACTGGGAGCAAGGTTGAAATCTGTTTCAGAAGCTGAGATGGAATTAGATTAAACCTCTAATTAATCCACCCAAAGTAGTTGGTTGGTGGTCATGGTCCAGGTGGTGGTAAAATACAGAAGGAATGTTTGCCTGATAGTTTTTACAGTGGCAAAAAAACCCTGTGTTTTGGCAATTGGCAAAATTATTTCTGCTAAGCAACTTTATTTATTGTATTTTAAATCTATCATGCTGTTGTGAATGGATAAGGGGATTTTTATACGCAATTCAGATGCTGCCTGGGGCTGGCAGGAAAGTAATGAAAAGGAACTGGTCAAAGTCTGCTCCTTCGAGGGGATTTTTCTGCTGTGAACAGCATAACAGCCTTGCACAGCCTAATGGCATTAGCATGTGTGGAGGTCAGAGTTGCTGCAGGGCAAAGACTAATTTGCAAAAAAAAGAGGCAGAACAGCAAAGACCTCTCATCTGGGAGCGGGGATGGAGGAGGTCTTTGGAAGGGCTCATCTAGCAGACTTCAGTGGTGAAGGCAGCATCTACACATGGG